CTCCCCCAGAGAAGGGAAACCAGATAAAGAAGAGAGAGATATCTCTTGTTTTTTCATTGCATATAAAAAAAGAAAAAAAAAAGAAACAGAGAAAAAATATAAATTTGTTTTTTTTGTTTAGGTCTATTAAGGAGAAAGAAATCTATATATACATATATTATATGTATATATATATACATATACAGAGAGAGAAAAAAGAGAGAAAGAGAGAGAGAAAAAAAAAAAAAGAGAGAGAAGGGGCCCCCAGGGAGCAGCAGAAACAAAAAAGTTATAAACCCCCCCACAAAATAAAATAAAAAGAGAACGAATTAAGTCATTATGTAAAAACAAAAAATAAAAAAAAAAGAAAAAGAAAAAAAAAAGAGAGAGAGAGAGAGAAAGAGAGAGAAAGAAAGAAAGAAAAACAACAGCAACAAGGGGATGTATTTGTCTCCTTTGTGGGGTCTTTTGGTGTTAATAAAATATAAAATAAAAATAAAAATAAAAAGACAAAACACTAAAACAAAATAAAAACAAACAAACAAACAAATACACAAACAAGGCCTTATATGAATGCTGCTGCCTGGCTGCTGCAGCAGCAGCAGCAGCAGCAGCAGCAGCAGCAGCAGCAGCAGCAGCAGCAGGAGTAGTATATAATATAGCGTCGTCGCTCGCGTGTAAGAGTAGGGTCTATAGAGAGAAAAAAAAGAGAAAATAATAAAAAAATTATATTTATTTCTTTTTATTTTATTATTATATACATAAATAAAAAAAAAAACAATAAAAAAACATATATACACCCTAAATTACACTAGGACGCAGACGGGCGGATCCTCCTGCTCTCCCACCTCCCCCCCTCATAAGGAGCTCGTTTTTGTGTGTTTTTTTTTTGTTTTTTTGTTTTTTATTTGTTTTATTTAATATAATTCTATAATTTATATTTAAAACAATAAAAAAAGAATAATTTGGGGGGCTTATATAACCCTTTCTTACGCTCACGTGCAACAAGGCCCGTGCAGAAACAGAGCTCGGGTGTATGCGCAGCTCTCTGTGTTTTATAAGAACAAAACACAAGCAGCAACAAACAAAAATAAATAAAAAATAAATAAAATTTATCTCCCCTTTTTGTTTTTCTTTTTAT